CTGGAACACAAGGATGACTTTGTTTTTACTTTGAACAACGTTCCTTGAGCCACAGACTGAGAGTTCTGCACAACCCCCCTCCCCAGTTCATCATGTCCTCAAAAAGACAGTCTCATTGATAATTCAGGAATGGCAGGAAAGTTAGTTCTGGAGTATAAATCCAAAAAGACTTTTTAAAGGCGGTATCCTAGGCTGCAAGGTGCAAGTTTAGGAGGAAGGAGAGTGAAGGGTTGGTTTTTGGGTTTTTTTTTAAAGATGTGGTTACTTGGTGTAACAGCCCTTTCTGTCCTGGAACTCTATTTGTAGACCAGGCTGGCCTGGAACTTAGAGACTTACCTGCCTCTGTCACCTGAGTGCTGGGATTAAAGGCATGCACCACCAGGACCTGGCAAAAAGATTATTTTTATTTAATTAAAAAATATTTGGATGGTGATGGTGGTGTATAGCACCAAGCAAGTGTGAAGGTCAGAGGACAGTTTTGATCCTCTTCTTTCATGGGGGGAGCCAGGGATTGAACCCAGGTACTCAAGGTTGACAACAAACAGCCTTACCACTAAGCAAGCCATCTTGTTTGCCTTTTATCTTTATTTTTTTAGATAACCTCTTAAGTAGCCGAGGTTATGTATCTAAGGAAGGCACTGAACTTCTGGTCCTCCTGTCTCTACCTCCCAAGTGCTAGGGTCACAGGCAAGCATGACTTCTGGTGAACTGGGTGCTCAGGATGGAACCCAGGCTGCCATGTATGCTAGGCAAGCTCTACCAACTGAGCTACATCCCCGGAGCAAAGCTAGAACATGTGCCAGGCCCAGGTAGAGATTCGATTTTTCTCGTTAAATCCCCAGGTAATACTGTGAAGAAAGCCACCTATTCCCAAGTCTATGGACTGAAGCTCCAGAGAATAAATGACACACACCTCCCACCCCCACCGCCGCTCCCTACACTAGGATTCAGCCCTAGTGGGAATTCTGAAGGGAACAGAAGGTGATGGGAAGCACAACAGGAAGCTGGGGAGAGAGTGTGGGAGAGAGAGGAGTGTGTCATCATGGGCAACTGTGACTCATTCTCGGTCATCCCTGGGGAGCTGACCCAGGTCACCCAGGTCGGAGCACACTCCGTATTTAGGATCTTTCCCATCCTAGGGGAATAAACAGCGTCCATTTGGGGGAGAGAGTGAGGGTGGTGGAGGTGGAGGGGAAACCTGTGTTAATGGGTATGGAGAGAGGTGCAAAGCAGGGAACCCCAATCTCCACCCGAAAAGGTGACCCTTTCTCCAGAGCATTCTTGTCTGTAGTCTGAGCTAGGGTGTATTTGGAAGTGATGTGCACATGGTGCAGGCGGCTAGTTCCCCCCAAGTCCAGTTCTGCTGGTCCGTGCTGGATCCAGAAACCTCACTTCACGTCCTGCTCCTGGTAAGGGTCACCTTGGAAAGACAAATCCGCTAGGGAGAAGTCTCCAGGGCGGCCCAGGTGCTCCAACTAGTCGCGGAGGGACGCGACAGGGTCCCGGTGGTGAAGATGCAGGCATCTCGGAGCCTGAAGGGACCGCCCGAGCCCGGTGCCCTCGGCGCCTCTCGCGGCAACTGGGAGCTGATGTCACGGGCGCCCTCGGGCTCAGCGGACCCAGTCGGCGAGGCAGCGCCGACTCCCGGGATCCTTCAATTCCCAGGCGGTCCTCGGGTCACACCGGCCACAGGGGTTGCTGCTGCCCAGGACTCCGCACCAATTGTAAACGCCATGGACAGGGCTAGGGAAGGATCGGTGAGTGCTTGGCCCCGGAGGGGGCTAGCTAACCAGGAGGGAGCTTGAGGACGCATCCTTGATCTCATTCATTTGCGAACCTGGTGACAGAAATTAAGTGCAGAGTCGGGGAGGGGTGGGCAGCAGTCGGCTTAGCAAAGGCAGGAGAGTGATGCATCCGAAGCGAGGCTGAGAGACAGGAGTTTCGGAGAGCTTCCTGATGGAGGGGGGCTTTGACAAGGTGGTACTGGAGTGGTTTGTGATAACATCTGGCCTAGCACAGCAGCCCCCCAAAAGAGATAGGGAAGGAAGAGTTGGCACGCAGGCTGGGCAAGGTTTTGGTGAGAAGCAATTCGAGGTGTTGGGAAGGCTGGGCACCAGAGACAGAAGCAGGACATACATAGCCTATGAAGGAGAGCCGGTGTGATGGAGAAGCCGGTGTGTGTAGTCGGTTACTCTAATGTTCCAACTGCATGCCTCCACTTGCCTGGCTTCCTGAACCAATGTTGTGCACCTCTGAAGCCTCCCGCTGTCACCTCAGCAGAAACCAGTAGGGGCTGTTTCCTGTGTTTTTTATGCCATGACAAGGCACTTAGGGAGCAGCCATTCATCTCTGCGTGTTCACCTCCCAGCTGGGACTTAAATATGGAGCCTTGGTCAGCACAGGGAAGCTCCAGCGCTGGCTGTTGAACAGAGTCTACTAACAAAGCAGCCCTCCTTGTGAAAAAAGCCCGTGTCCCTGCCGTTGTGCTGGATGCTTTTCATCAGGCATTGAGTGTGGATCTCACTGGTCTTTGAACACTGAGACGCCATGTCTGTTTTCACCCCATGTTGTGTGTCTGTGGTGTATGTATGTGTGTGCATGCGTGTATGTTGCCTATGAGTGTGTGTAGACCAGAAGTCAACTTTAAGGTTTTTGTTTTTTTGTTTGTTTTTGACATGGAGGTCTCACTATATAGCCCTGTCTGGTCTGGAACTGGCTATGTAGACCAGGCTGGCCTCAGACTCAGAGAGATTTGCCTGTCTCAGCCCCTAAGTGCTGGGATTAAAGGTATGTGTCACCATGCCTTTAATATATATATTTGTGTGTGTGTGTTTCTGTATGTGGAGGGCATGCATGCCATAGCACAGTGTGGCGGTCAGAGGAAAACTTGTGGGGTTTGGCTGTCTCTTCCACCCTCTGGAACCCAGGGATAGAACTCAGTTCCTCACGCTTGGTAGCTGTGGCCTGTCAGTCCATTGAGTCAGTCTCACTGGTCCTCACTGAAGACAAATTCTCTCACTGAACCTGGTGCAAAGCTGTGGCCAGACTGGCCGGCCACCAGGACTCTCTGTCTGTTTTTGCTCCCCGGTGCTGGGGTTGAGACCAGTGATGCCATCCCCTCCTTCTATACGGGCACTGTGGATCCAAACTCAGGTAGTCTTCCCTGCACAGCAGGCATTTTACCCACTGAGCCACCTCCCCTGCTCTTCACCCCATTCTATCAGTTGGAAAATCAACTCAAGACTCAGGGAGGTGGGTAAAATGCCCCATATAGCTAGGAGCTGCCATGTTATTTGGTAGGGGACTTCCTGGAGGAGTTTGGGGCTGAATCGGCCTGTTTTGGACGAGGATCATGTGGGTGTTGCTGGGGTGAAAATCTGTCCTAGTACAGTGACCCAGAAAATAGCCCCCGGAGAAAGGAACTGTAAACAAGCTAAATATGTAGCCTAGGCTGACTTGGAACTCATGATAATTCTCCTGCCTCTGCTTCCTGAGTGCTGAGATATGTCTGGATGTCTAGGGCTTTTTATACTTTATTGTTTTGAGACAGGGTTTCATATAGCCCAAGTTGGCCTCATCCTCACTATGGTGCTGAGGGTGACCTTGAGCATCCTAATTCCACTGCCTCCACCTCCTGAGCACTCCCCACCAGGTCCGGTTTATACAGTGCTGGAGAGTGAAACCCAGAGCCATGTATGCCCAACTCCCAGCCCAATGCCAATTGCCCTTTAAGCTCCAAGATGACTTCTTTCCAGGTGAACACCCCTGAGTCCTCTCTCAGGGCCTCTCCTTTGCCCTTCCATGCCTGTCCAGTGCCTCCTGCATGCCTAGCCCCCCCTCCAGACCCTCATACCTGGACCAACTATTTTCTCTTCCTCATTCCTTACCTCTGAGCACCTCTCCCAAGTTCAGGGAGCCAGAGGTGGTGGATGTGCTGTTTGAGGTCTGTATAGGATTCTGTGCAGTATGGGGGCACTCTGTAGGTGGTGTGCATCTGATTGATCCCACAAATCTGTTTTCATTCCTAATCTCTGGGACAACCACACAAATATGTAAATATATACATATGCAAATATATGATATATGTTATATCACAAATGGTGGTGTGTGTTTTTTGTTTGTTTTTGAGTCTCATGTATCCCAGGCTTGCCACTAATCCACTGTGTAGCTGAGGATGGACTTAAACTACTGATCCTTCTGCCTCTATCTCCCGAGTGCTGGATTACAGACGTGCACCACCATGCCTGGCTTGATGTCCAGTGTTGTTTTGCTTTCTATTCTTGTGCTATATTTTCTGGAGAGTTACAGCTAGACACATGTCTTCCTCCATCTCTTGCCCTGTGTACCAGCGCAGATAGAACTCATTTAACCGCTGTCTTATGGAAAGGCTGTGTTTTAGTTTGGGTGTTTAAAATAATGCCTGGGGCTGGAAAGATGGCTCAGTGGGGAAAAAAAGAAAAGAAAAAAAAGAAAGAAACAATTTCTGCTCTTCCAAAGAACCAAGTTCACTTCCTGGCACCCATGTGAAATGGTCTGTAACTCTAGCTCCAGGGAAGATGCCTTCTTCTGGTTCTGTGGGCTCTGCACTCATGTGCAGTATATGTACACTTAAGTAAAACAGTGCTAAGTGAATCTTTTTGTTGTATAGCTTGGCAGTTACATGTGTATCTGTAGGCTGAACCCTTGAGTACAGTGTTTAGGACAGTTAGGTCGAAGAATATATGAACTTGTAGTTTTGTAGATTTCTCCAAATCGCGATCAAAGGTAGAAATACTTTGTACTCCTCACAATCAAATGGATGAGAGTATCCGTAGTTTTCTAAAGTTTTTCTGACTCATCTTGGGCAGCTGGGGGTAAGACAACAGGCTTTGCGAAAACATTAGTGTCCTCTGCCCTCCCCCACCCCACATAGCCCACTTGGGACTGGGGTTGGGTAGGGGAGATGTCTCAGCCTGATCCCTGACTGCCTTTTCCTCTTCTCTTCCCATGACTCTGGTTAGGACACGGAGTTACAGAGGAAACTAGACCATGAGATCCGGATGAGGGAAGGGGCCTGCAAGCTGCTGGCGGCCTGCTCCCAGCGAGAGCAGGCTCTGGAGGCCACCAAGAGCCTGCTGCTGTGCAACAGCCGGATTCTCAGCTACATGGGCGAACTGCAGAGGCGCAAGGAGGCCCAGGTGCTGGAGAAGACCAGCCGGCGGTGAGCAAGGGAGGGGATGTGCCTGAGGGAGGGAGGCTTTGTCCGTGCTTCAGCAAGTGGCTGTGTGGAGTGTTCAGGGCTCAGATCAACCCCTGATGGGGACCCCCTCACAAACACCTGTCCTGGCCAGGAAAGACACCTTAGTGCTTACCATGGTGGTGGGTCGTCCCGAGTGGCTGGGGCTGGACTCAGGAAAGCCAGGGTATCTGAAGGGCAGCTGGCAGTTCAAACCACAAGTAATGCAAACATGCTAATTGGTTATGGCCTGCCCATGATCTGCTATATCCGGCTGGTTGTCTGGAAAACTAATTTTCTCAAAGCCAGTTCACCAAATGGCCCATTTACCACAAATTGACAGTAGCATGTTGTACCTGGGGTTCACCATCAGAGGCAGGAGTTGAGAAAGCACATAATTGAAAATCACTTAAAGGAAGGCTCCCCATTTGTAGAAATTGGTTGTGCAGCGGAGCTCAGCATGAGTTTGTGACCTACACACAGTGCCAGTGCTACAGTGCACTCTGGCAGTGACAGGTCAACCTTGAGACAGCTGGAGTCAAGTGAAAATGTTAGAAAATACTTGACAAATGCATAGCTCTGAGGATTGGCTGTTTTGGTAGATGAGTCATTTGGGGAACTGCCTGCCTCATTGAGGCTGCATGGGAAGAGGGTCCCAGCCCTCACTGGCATGGAGGAGTTGAAGGAGAGGTTGCCAGGGGCTCACCAGGAAGCCCACAGAAGGAGAAAACACATTCCTTTGCTGCTTCACGTAGCAAGAGGCCAAGCAGGCAGGGAGCAGCTCTCTCAGGCAGCCGCGGGCAAATGGCCCACACAGCCCTCAGAGTGGGAATATAAAGTACATTTAATTCCCTAGCAGCTAGTTGTGCTACTCCGTGTACTCATATCAAAGACAAGATGAAAGCTGGACATGGTGGTCTATGCCCGCAATCCCAGTATGTGGGAGGCTGAGGTGAGAAGATTACTGAGTTTGAGGCCAGCTTCAGCTACAGAGTGAGACCTTCACTCTCTAACAAACACCTGAGATATTGGGAACAAGTAGCTTCTAGAATTGCAAGGAAAACCTTCCAATCTCTCCAAGTCCATGGTTTAATGGGTGTGTGTTTGTGTGTGTGTGTGTTAGCGGGAGGTTGGGGGAGGCTTAACAGGGAATCTCTTTCGGCACCTGTCCCCTCAGGGCCCCACTTGTCCCTTCCAGGGGTCTGGATGGCCAGGACCAATGCTAGAATGAGGACCCAGAGCTTGGGTACTGTCCCTGTGTGCTAACATTGCTCAAACGTCCCCAAGACCAGCAAACTTCTGGGCGCTGTCAATAGCTCTCCTCCAGTCCCTTGGTCCTGCCATGCCAACCAGGCTAGGAATCAGGGGCCCCTTAGAGCCCTTGGGAGTCAGAAAAAAGGGGAGGAGAAGGGAAGACCAGGCCAGGACTCTGTGATCTGCCCACAGACCTTCCGACAGTGTGCCGCCCCCTGAGCGTTCCCCTTGCCGTGGCCGGGTCTGCATCTCTGGTAAGAAACACACAACTGCCACAGAGGCTGGTACCCCTCACCCCGCCACACCACCGCCTGGCTGCTTCTAACCCCTCTTCCTTCCCGCCTGCCCTTTAGACCTCCGGATCCCACTCATGTGGAAGGACACGGAGTATTTCAAGAACAAAGGCGGTGAGTGTCACATACAATGGGACAAAATCAGGGGAGTGCTCCGAGACAGAGGCTCTTGTTGACATTTTAATGCTTTTATTTCTCTTTTTCTCTTTATTTTCAGACCTGCACCGCTGGGCTGTGTTCCTGCTGCTGCAGCTCGGGGAACAGATTCAGGACACAGAGATGGTCCTGGTGGACAGGACGCTCACAGACATCTCTTTTCAGAACAATGTGCTCTTGTGAGTTCCTTGCCTGTGGCTCGCTCCTTCCTTCCTTCCTTCCTTCTTTCCTTCCTTCCTTTTTTCCTTCCTCCCTCCCTTCCTTCCTTCCTCCACTCCAGCTCCTTATGGGGTAGCTATGGGGGCAGAGGTGGCGGGGGGGGGGGAGAGGCAGATGGCCCCTGGGCACCTCTGTAGAGCCCTCCTGAACTTCCGCTCTTCTTCCCCACACCCTCCTGAGCCTCCTGCTCATGGCACTCCTCTCTCCTCTCTCTTGCGCCTGTGTAGTGCTGAGGCAGGGCCGGACTTTGAACTGCGGCTGGAGCTGTATGGGGCCTGTGTGGAAGAAGAGGGAGCCCTGGCTGGTGCTCCCAAGAGGCTTGCCACCAAACTCAGCAGCTCCCTGGGCCGTTCCTCGGGGAAGCGTGTCAGGGCATCGCTGGACAGTGCTGGGGGCTCCGGGAACAGTCCCATCCTGCTGCCTACCCCAGCTGTGGGGTAAGATCACATAGTACCCAATGCCTTCAGCTGCCTTCAACTCCCCACTGGTGACCATGACACCGTGAATGAGCAGGCATTCTGCCCAGCCCTAGAGTTAGGCCTCAGTCAGTCCATGAACCTGACAGTGGGGGCCGGGGCAGAGAGAGCTAGGCTTTGGGGTCTTACCTGGTTAGCAGGCACAGAAACATCTTATAGGACTTGGGGGTGTAGCTCAGTTGGTAGAGTGTCTGCCTAGCATACACGAAGCTTTGTGTGGGGTAGTGCACAGCTGTTATTCCTGCACTTGGGAGGTAGAGGCAATAGGATCGAAAGTTCAGAGTCATCCTCAGCTGCATAGTGAGTTTATGGCCATCCTGGTATACATTAGACCCTGCCTCAAAACCCCCAAAACAGGGATGGGGAGAACAACACATTGGCTAAAGCACTTGCTATGCAGGCAAGGAGACGAGTTCTGATCCCCCAAACCCTATCCCAGGGCTCACCTGGGTGGGGAGCTACGTGGTCTCCAGGACATGCTAGCTAGCTGGACTAGTCCAACCGGCAAGCTCTGGGCTCAGTGAGCGATCCTCCCTCCATGAACAACGTAGAGAGCAATTAAAGAGGACACGCAATGCTAATGTCTGGCCTCTACATACACGTGTGTGCCTCCCATACGTATACCCAAACTGAACAACGTAGATACATCTACAGCTGTGCTGAGTTGAACATGCTCTGTGGCAGAGCCTATAGTCCCCTGAAGTTACTGGGATCTGCTGACTGAAGAACACTCACCCTCAGGAAACTTCCAGGAGAGTTTCATTGGGATAGTGTATGAGTGAGGGCCAGGTGCCTAGCGGGCGGGGAGACAGGAGGGAGCTAGTTGTCCATGTAGCCTGGCAGTGGGACAGATCTCACACACCACACTCCAGTGATGTCCCCTTCTCCCTCCAGGGGTCCTCGGTACCACCTCTTGGCCCACACCACTCTCACCTTAGCAGACGTGCAAGATGGATTCCGTACACATGACCTCACCCTCGCGGGTCATGGTGTGTGCATGAGTGGGTCGGGGGCCCTGGCAGCGCTGAGAGGGGTGGTGGGGTTGTCCCCTTCTCGTTTCCCATCCTTACCCTGTACTTCCTCCTCCCCCAGAGGAGAACCCTGACTGGCTGCCCCTTTATGGTAGCGTGTGTTGCCGCCTGGCAGCCCAGCCTCTCTGCATGACTCAGCCCACTGCAAGTGGTACCCTCAGGGTGCAGGTGAGGGGTCCTACAGGAGTGGAAGGGGGCATGGAGGAGACAGCTGGGCACCTAAGGATAGGATGATAAAAGTGTGACTCTGGGGGACAAAGTGGGATGGGAAGGCAGCAAGGTGAGTACTGGGGACATGGGGTCAACGGGTGACTGAGAAGAAGGTCCCTGGTGGGGAGGCAAGACTCCTTAGAAAACACCAGGTCCTTTATGCAGCAAGCTGGGGAGCTACAGAATGGGACACTCGTCCACGGAGTCCTGAAAGGCACAAACCTCTTCTGTTATGGGAGATCCGAAGATGCAGACACCGGGCAAGAACCACGGTTTACTGTCGCCATCAACAAGGTGATGAATCTGGTGGTCATGAGGCCACCTGGTCCTTAGGCCCGGGCACTTCTTTCTCAAGGCCCTAGAGAGTTGGGCTCAGGCCTCAGAGACAGGGCGGGTGGACTCTGTTCCTAAAAGCACCAAGCTCCACAGCAGGTTGGGGATGCAGAGAGACCACTTCCCCATATCTTCCCACCCCTCAAACAATACTAAGAAAGTTCTCCTGCTCGCTCAGCATCCCCAGCCCTTTCCAAATCCCAGGGGATTCTCCTGCTGGGTCAGGCAGCTCTCCCTCCAGTCCCCTGTGCTTCCAGTTTGTAGCTGCTGAAACTTGCTGTCTGTCCCTGCACAGGCCCAATTGGGCTGCTATGCCCCCTTGCCCTAGGGTTGCTTTCCTCTGTGTTTGCGAGAGACTTGAGTGTGTTAGGCAAGTCTGCCCCAGCACTGCACCCCAGGCACCCTGTCTGTGTTTTGTAAGTACTGGGTAGGTAACCCAGACCCGGGCCTTGGTGACTCCTGCTCACCTTTGCACCTCCCCTGCCTTGCTCTGTCCCTCTTTTCTGCCTCTGCCTGTTGCTCCCTGTCTCAGCATAGATACTTTATCCCCAGCATCCTCACTGTCCCCTCACCCCTCCCAGAGTTAGCAGGAGGCAAATGCAGACTCAGCAGAAGTCCCAAAGGTACTTTCCAGGCAGGGGTGATGGGCTGCTTCTCAACTAAGGCAGAGGTGAAGTCAGATCTGCTTTCTCCTGCAGGAGACTAGGGTCCGGGCAGGGGAGCTGGAGCAGGCCCGGGAATGGCCTTTCACTCTCAGCATCAGCAACCGCTATGGAGAAGACGAGGTGACCAACACCCTCCGGGTGGAGAGCAGAGAAGCCCTGCAGAACTGGATGGAGGCGCTGTGGCAGCTCTTCTTTGACATGAGTAAGATAAAGGGCTGGGCTAAACCTCTGGGAAGGCTGGAGGGCTGCCTGCTGCTTGGGAGCTGGGAATGCGGGAGCAAGCAGGCAGCTCCTGCAGCTGCCGCTCTCCTGGCAGGCCAGTGGAAGCATTGTTGTGATGAAGTCATGAAAATCGAAGCTCCTGCACCCCGGAAACCCCCACAAGCACTGGCCAAGCAGGGGTCCTTATACCATGAGATGGGTAAGTCAGGGGCAGTTAGTCGGGGAGCTGATGGGAAGTGGAGTTGGGGACCTCAAGGGTATCCAGGTACTAGAGAGAAAGCACAGTGGGGTCCAGGTCTCACTCAGCCCTACTGTCTTCCCCTTTTCTCTCCAATTCTGAAAAATCACCTCCACCCAAGTACAGAACAAACCCCCAAGAGCCAGATTCATTCCATGACGTCTGTCCTAACTCCTTCTTTTCTGTTTCCCTCTGTGCATGTGGACTCCTGCCTTCTCTTCTGACCTCACTTGCCCGGCACTGCTTTCTCTCCCTTTTATCTTGGTTTCTTTACCCACTTCCGCTCCCCACCCCAATGTCACACAGTCTTATCAGAGCCTGTGGCCTCAGGGGGTCCCGGTGAGGGGCTGCTCCTGCAGAACAATGCCATCTCAGCTGAGATTCGGGCCTTGCTTTCTTCATATTACAGTGACAGGTGACAGTCAGGGCTGAGCAGGCCAGGGCTTGAGCTCTGACTAGCCCCCTCCCCTCCCCTCCCCCCTGGTGCCACAGCTATTGAGCCACTAGACGACATCGCCGCTGTTACCGACATCCTGGCCCAGCGCGAGGGCACAAAGCTGGAGCCGCCCCCACCCTGGCTAGCAATGTTTACAGACCAGCCTGCCTTGCCTAGCTCCTGTGCGCCTGCCTCAGTGGCCCCAGTCCCAACCTGGACGCAACCCCTGCCCTGGGGGCGACCCCGAACCTTTTCTCTGGATGCTGCACCCCCAGATTACTCCCTTGGGGCTTCTCGCTCGGTTGCACCCCTCCCCCCGCAGCGATCCCCACAATCCAGAGGCTTCTACAGCAAAAGTCAGCTCCGCACATGGCTCCAGTCCCCAGTGTGAGAGGCACCAGCAACAGGATCTGGCCAAGAAAGAAAACGACCCAAGGGCAACTGGGTCCTAGGTCCAGCACTGTAGGGCGCTGGGCTCCTCTTCCTCCACTGGACTTGGAAGGAAAGCTGGGGAGGGGTAACAGAAGCCCCTCTTAAGTTGTGGTTACCATGGTACTGAGGAGGCCATTTCTGGAGCTGGTTGGGATCCCCTAGCTCTTTACCTGGGAGAAAACTGGAAGAACCCTGCCCTGCCTCCCTGCACTAACCAGCCTCGAGGGTGGGCGGCACTAGGGAGCAGGGGAAAGGCACCTCCCTGGGACTCCTACCCCCACCATTAAAGTTATTTAACAGCTCGCTGCCTTCACTTGGTCTCTGAGGACCAGTGGCTTCTGCGCGCTCTGAGCCTGCCTCTCCCTCCTCCCGGGAGCTTGTTGTTTAGAAGTGTGGCCACGAGAGCGAGTGATCAGACAAGGGCTTGGTGGAGGGATACTTTATAAATACCAAGGGAGGAGGGAAGGTTGCTCCTCTGTCAGACACTGCTGAACCTCAGGATCTCAGCAAGCTCGTAACCTGTCACCGCAAAGGAGCTGCCTGATGGGTCACAGAACCGAGCCCCACACACCTGGGTATCAGAAATGCATTCCCCGTGGCAGTGTTCAACCTGGAGGGTGGGGGAAAGACTGGTCGGTCCCTGCTGCTCACCCTTGGCGTGGGTCCCCACCCCCACCCTCTACAAACATACCTCAATGGAGCCGCTCTCTGCGTTCCTGCTCAGCTTCCAGATGTGCACAAAGGTGTCCTCAGCTGCAGAGAGTAGCTAAAAGAGAGAAACCCAAGAGGGATGGGCAGGGAGTCAGAATGCCCAGTCCAGGTACCTGGGGGATGGAGTCACACTGAGTACGGAGACAAGCCTGTGTGTGCTAGGCATCTAAGCACCAGGAAGGTACTTAGGGGTGCAGGAGACTGACCTTGCCCACTTCTGGAGCTAGGTCCAGGGCACAGACGGTCCGGGCATGGGCACTGATCTGGACGTGGAGCGCTCCAGTAGTGGCATCATAGAGACGCACTTGCCCATCGCCATACCCCGCGGCTACAATCCCCTGCCACAGCTGCACAGAGGGGCACGGGACCCTGCAAGGGCAATGTTCAATCTTGTTTCTCCAGACCCCAACATATCCCCTGCCCTCAAAAAGGCCATAACCCTCTTCTGCATCTCCTACCCGAATCCTGGTATTCGGGTCAGTAATGTGAACACAGTTCCTGACCTCCAGACACAGAGAACACCTGAGTCATCAGCTGTCACCATGTCAGCAACACCATCCTGAGGAGAAAGTCGGGGTCAGCTCTTCCCTTTATAGTCTGTGCGGCCCAGGGTCCAGGGCAGGAGGGGAAGGGAAGCCATGCCTGCCTCTTTGCTTCTACAGGGAAAGGGCAAGAGCTCAAGATATCAGATACTTCTCTGCCAAGTCTCTTAAGCACAGGCTCCTTGTAGGTCCTTATAGGTTTCTCACACCCCTCCCATGCCCCCATCACAGAGCAGGAGAGGACGTATATAATTGTCCCTCTGGGATAGGTGACAATGCTAAAGCCACCAGTTCCTGACTTTTTGCAGGCTTTATAATGAGTCAACCACAGTCACAGCTGGTCCCTAGGCCTCCTGACTGATGCCGGCAGACAGATCAGGTGCTACGAACGGTACAAACTATAAGCCCCACGTCCTGCTCTCAAGAGGTTTGCAATCCGAGCGGGGCGAAGGGGAAGTTTTCTGTGAGGACAGGGCCTACTCAGAGTGAAGCTGGGTGGCAGGGTGGACCAGGGAGACAGCTTTCTGGAAAGGCCAGCCCTGGAGCTGGGTCACTTGTTCAAGTCCAGAGAAGGAAGCTACAGCTGTCAGTGTTGGCAGCATCTGGGAAAGGGTCAGCTTTAACTTCCAGCTTCACGCCCGCACTGAAGAGTGCTAGTGATTTTTCTAGAACTCTTAACATAAAGCATGTTTCCCTCAGACCGGAGGCTACTACATCTAAGAGAGTGAGGATGATCCCAAAGCCACACTTCTACTTGGTGGCAGAGCTAAGACCCATATGGGTCACTAGAATAGCTAGAGGAAGTGTACTCACCTGTCCCTGGGCATGCTCAGTGGCAATGTCTGTGATTGGTGTCTGGTGCCCCGCCAGCTCCTCGTTAAGTACAATGTTGGGACCCTTAGCAGGGATGTCAAACACCAGTACTCGGCCGGACCATGTTCCTGCAGCCAGAACCAGTGTCCTACTGATGGCTTCCTGACCCCTCTGGGCCTCCAGTCACCGCCCAACACTCCCTCTACCCAAGAAGTCTTAGGAATAAACTGATTGTTCCAACAGCCCTGACTTTCCGTACACTATCCCTCTGTAAATGTTTTTTTTTATTTTATTTTTTATTTTTCGAGACAGGGTTTCTCCGTAGCTTTTTAGTTCCTGTCCTGGAACTAGATCTTGTAGACCAGGCTGGCCTCGATCTCACAGAGACCCGCCTGCCTCTGCCTCCCCAGTGCTGGGATTAAAGGCTCTCTGTAAATGTTTTTATGAGTCTCTGATACCCACCCTTCCTCACCTTCCCCCAACCCTTCAGAAGTTCATCAGCTCCTCAGCAGCCCCCTGGCTGAGAACCCATACCAATGTACCTCATCCACCTTAACACCCTGCCCTTAGTTCTCTCACCCACACAGATGAAGTGAACGCTGGCAGCGATCCCTCGGGCAAACATGGCCTGTGCTGAATAGAAAAGCAGTTCTCAGAAGTGGCACTTCCTCCAGCCCTAGTGAATTCTCCCAGCCTCCACCCCTGCTCCACTTGGTCCTGCAGGTACCTGAAGACGTGTCTCCTGAATCCAAGGCATGCCAATAGACCATGACGGAGCCATCAGCCTCGTACATCTGTAAGAAGGAGAAAGGACGGCAGGATGATCCAGCTGACCCTTGCTGAGCTCTGGGCCCTCCCGCACTGACTTCACACAGCCATATCAGCTTGAGTCCAGGGAACCCTCCAACTTGTCCTGGGAGGCAGGCACCATTCTTATCCCTAGTTTTCAGAGGAGGGCACGCGGGCTACATGTCCCGAGGGTCACAGAGTTACTGAGGGAGGCAGATGGCTGAAGTGGCACTTGAAGAGCGGAGAGAACGGAAAGCAGGAAGAAGAAACTGGGAGAAAGGGTGGGCTACACGCGCGGGAAGCTTGGAAGTGTTTATTCATAGGGAACTGGAGAGGGTGGGCGTGAGGAGAGTGGGGAGGGGGACTCTCTTCTCACCTGTATCCTTCGATGTGAGGTGAGAACCAGCAGTACTCTGAAAGGGAGGACGCACCAGTGGACCTGGAGAGACACGCATAGGCATCACAGCAGACAGAGAGCATGAGGCGCCAAGAGCTTAGGGTTTAAAGAACAAAGGTAGAGCAGATTTAAGCAACGCCTCTTTTAACTCCTGGCCTCACCTGAGTGATAAGTGGGGGGTTCACTCCAGCGCCCACTTTGATTTGGAGCTGGCGCTGGGCCAAGGGCACACCCTCAGAGGCAGCGCTGAGAATCTGGGCGCTCGGTCCATGAACCACTCCAAAATGCGTGAGATCACGGGCTGGAAGCTGCAGCACACTGAGGTTGTTAGACAGGGCGGCGGCAGAGCCGCGAAGTGGGATGGGGCGCTCGCGGAGGTACATCCTGGGGGAGAGATACTAGAGTCACCCGAGTGGACCAGGAGGAGGCCACAGAGGGTACTTGGACAGGGGAGAAGGGCAATGAGATGCAATCGTGAGGTACTGAGAGAGACCCTTGATGGACGGGTTTCACGAGGAAAGCGATGGGAAACAATCACAAGGACGAGAGAATCCCATGGAGCAGGAGAAAGCCCAGGGTTGAGTATTGCGGCCACCAGGGAATCCCAAAGGAATTACGGTGATGGAAGAACCTTGTAAGTACTGAACGCTCCAGCCAAAAAGGCAGAAGGAGGCCTCCAGCCCTTCCTCCCACAGTTTGGTTACCTGCAAATCCACGCCAAGGTCAGAGGTCACACCTGCAACCCCCTCCGCCTTCACCCCCAAGTCTGTCTTGCCTGACGGGCGATCTTCAGGTCCCTCCGAATCCGCCGCCACCATAGAGACGACGCACTGACGCACGGCCTCTGGGCGGGGCCTGGGGCTGGAACGGGCGGCGCGTGGCGCAGTTGCCGGGGCAACCGTGGACCGCGCTTGAGACCCTCAGGGCTGCCTGGTTGCCGAGGCGACCGTTGAGCCGCGGCCGCTGAGGCTGAAGCAATGGAGGGTCCTGGAGGCAGCTGAAACACCGCGTTGGAGCGACTGTCGCGACAATGTCACACGAAGGCTCGGTGAGCTTCAGTTCGACTTGGGGGAGTGCACAAGAACTGGGGTTGGCCGGAGTATGGAGCGATGGTCTAGCTCTGAGTTCAAGAAGGGCATGAAGTACCACTGTTCCCGGCGTAAAAGAGTCAATGGCTGGACCAGGCAAAGAGCAAGTGAATTTGGAAACAGCTGACCTGCTAGTGCAAGTAGTAATTCATTTATGCCAAGGAACCTGTTTTGGTGGGTAAAACAGAATCAGGCACTTGAGAGGGCTTGATGGTTGAATCTCTATCTTGACACTTTCAGGACCATGAAATTGATTAAATAATTCAGAGGCTGACCTTAAAAGTTAATTTATTGTATCATTATTATTATAATTTATTGTATTATCATTATTATTATTATTATTTGAGACAGAATGTGATTATGTAGACTAGGCTGGCCTTCAACTCAGAGATCTGCCTGCTTCTGCCTCCAGAGTGCTGTGATTAAAAGCATGTGCTATTATAGCTGGCCTTTTATTTTGAGACAAGGTCTCACTGTGTAGCCCTGGATGGCCTAAACCTCACTATGTAGATCAAATTACCCTTGAACTCATAGCCTCTTCCCATACCCACACCCTCCCATCCCACTGACAAAAGCCAAATTGTTGAAGTTAAGAAAAAATTATCTTATGTGTATGGGTGTTTGGTGTGTGTATGTAGTATGTTCGTGCCTGATGCCTGCAGAGACCAGGAAAGGGAACTGGAGCTACCGTTTTGAGCCATCATATGGATGCTAGGAACTAAATCCAGGTTCTCTGGAAGAGCAGCTCTTAACTGCTGAACCATCTCTCCCACTCCCAAAGTCAAGGCATTTAAAAAATAAAACAGATAGGAAGAACCTTGGGGAAATGAAAGAGTAAAAAAAAAAAATCACTGTCCTCTTTTGTCAGGTGCACTTCCCATCTCTGTGAGATGCAAGGCTGGGAGGAGACTCCTAAAGAATTGGTTCTTTGTTTGGGCTTTAAAGATTTAGGCTGAACACAAGGAAGCCCGGCTCTAATCCCAGCACTAGGCAGATGGTCTCTGGGACTCTAAGGCTAGGGAGTGGGAGAGAGAGTAGGGAATAGGAGACTCCAGTTTGCCTGGGAGGATGGATATTGGGAAATGGAAACCGTGATGCAGTAGGGTTGGAGGTAGGCAGATGTGGGTTTATATTTGGAGGTGAGTTTTTTTTATGTCAGTATGAATTTATTCATGTGTTTGTAAAGAACTTGACCATACAAAAGCTTTTCCACATAGTTTCAAAATGAGGTTTCTCTCCACTGTGAAGTTTAGCATTATATTGAAGATAATTGTGATGGAGGTGAGTTTTGGAAGGAACATTCTTTCTTCATTGTCTTCCTGTAGTCCAGCCCAGCCTTGAACACATGGCAGCTGTCCTGCTTCGGGCTCCCAAAGGCTGGGTTTACTGGTATAAGCCACCACAACTGGCTTTGGCCATTTTTACAAATTGTTATTACTCATCTACATCAAATATTATGTCCCTAGTTTACCTTTGGGCTTGCCTTAGTTACTTGTCCATTGCTGTCAAACAAAAACAAAAACAAAACAAAACAAAAAAAAAAACAAAACAAAAAAAGAAACAAAAACAAAAACAAACCATGACCAAAGCAATGTATAAGAGTTTTCTTTGGGACTTAGTTGCAGAGGGTCAGAATTCATGACCATCATAGTGGGGACCATGGTGGCAGGCAGACAGACATGGTTCTGGAGGAGCGTTGAGAGCTCACATCTTGAGCCAACAACTACAAGGCAAATAGAGCTAACTGCAAATGAAGGGCTTTTGAAACCTCAAAATTGGCCCCTCCTTATTCACTTCCAACAAGGCCACACCTCCTAATTCTTCCCAAACAGTTGCATCAACCAGGGATCAAGCTTATGGGGAATGTTCTTATGCAATCCATCACAGGGTTCTTTAATGAGTTTTAAAAATGTTTTTGTTACATTTATCTGTGTGTGAGAGAGGGATGTGTGCTGTGGTGCATAGATGGAGGCTGGAGGACGACTTGTGGAGTTGCTTCTCTGTTTGTGGTCCTGAGAACCAGACTTTGCTCATTACATGTGGCGACAAGCACCTTTACCCAAATGAGTCATCTCACCAAGCCTCATTTTCTTTATTTCTCTTTGTTTTCAAAAGTTTTAAAAATGTATCTGGGCATGTGTTTCTTTTCCATATTTTTGCAAATATCTTGATTTGGGAAGCAAGAGTCAGGTTTTGAAATTAGACAAATCTGTGTATGAATTCTAAGTACACTATTTCCCAGGTGTGATCTTAGGCAAAATACATAAGTGGGAATAAAAATAATGGTTAAAGATGGCCTTGTAGTGTAGGCCTGTAATCCTAGCAACTCTATTTGGGAGGCAAAAGGACCACAAGTCAGAGGGGATGGGATAACTTTAAGGAAACAGGATCTTCCAAGCTCAACAAAACTGATAAACATATAAACTCAAGAAGATTGTGGTAGCATGAGCAGGGCCTGCACAAGTGTGAGCCAGAGGGGGGCCCCAAGTGCTGTGAGGGGTAAGTGAACACAAGCTCCCATCCCCATCCAAGCAGCTCTTTACAACCGGAAACCACTTACAAAGCAAAAATCAGTGTTACCCAATGGAGTCTCACATCCCGTGCCCCAGAAGTAGATATCCAACAGACACGATCTCAGTGGTGCTTTTGTAGGTTGTTTCATTTGAACTTTTTTAAAAAATCTTTTTGGTCTTTTGTTTGTATATTACGGGTTCTGATTTTGTGTTTCTATGGTTTTTGTTTTGGTGTGTTTGTGCTTTTTCACTGTTTTATATTAGATTTGTTTGCCTTTTTAATTTGCCTGTGTTGTAAAGAGAAAAAGAGGAAGAAGGCCTAGAGTTGATGAGAGTGGCCATGGGGAGGAACTGGAAGACGGGAAAAGGGAAACTGTGATCAGAATGTATTGTATCAATTTTCAATTGCAAAGAAAAAGAGGACCACAAATTAATTTCAAGGCCTGCTTGTACTACAGAGTGAGTTCAAGACCTGCCTTGGCATCTTAGTAAGACCTCAAAATAAAAAGTAAAAAGAGGGGGGGGGGGTAGCAGCACAGGTATTTGATCCCAGCACTGGGAGGCAGAAGCAGGTTGATCTGAGTTTGAGGCCAGTCTTTCTCTACAAGGAGGCTTCCAGGACTGTTTAAAGAGACTGTTTCAAACAAACCAGAAGCAGGAGCATTGCTGCAACTCTGAGGTGTGCCTAGCCTACATAGCAAGTTCCAGGGCCAGCTAGGGCTACATAACAATACTTGTTGAAAGCAAAATAAAAGCAGAGGAGACTAGGTACTAGTGACCTCATTGACTCACAGATTCAAGTTCTTTGAACTCTCAAGAACGTGGATACTGTGGTAAAGCAAATATCTAGAGCTGTAAATTGAGCATGGTTAGGTCTGGGGTTCAGTCTGCATCCCAAAAGGTGAGAGTTAACTCCTGTCAAGTGTCAGTTTCCTTGCTTCCTGGGCTGCTACGTTATTAAACCGAGTTGCATACCTTCAGTGTCCCCCCACAGCCTCGCAGACTCTAGGTGCCTTGTCCTAGTCCCTTTTCTTACTCAGTAAACATCTCGAGAAAGCGTCTTTCTAGCACTTAGTCCATCAGTTCCATCCCTTCGGTTTCCTGTTCCGTTTCCCCACAGAGGCAGGCGCGAGACCGTGGGGTGACCCGATCCAAGGCTGAAAAAGCCCGGCCGCCCACCCAGCCGGTGCCACAGGTGGACATCGTGCCTGGGCGGCTCAATGAGGCAGAATGGATTGCGTTTATGTCCCTGGAGGAGGGCGAGGAAGTAGTGGGTGACATCTTGGCCGATCTTCTGACTCGAGTTATGGAGTGTGCCTTCAAAGTCTACCTGACCCAGCAGGTGGGCCTAGATTTGGGTCTTCCAGACCCTTTTTTTTTTTTTTTTTAAATCACTCCCGCCCCTGCTGAAGAAGCTGAGACACTCCCTCACTTCCACAGTGCGTCCCATTCACCATTAGTCAGGCCAGAGAAGCCATGCTGCAGATCACTGAGTGGCGCTTCCTGGCCCGGGATGAGGGAGAGTCTGCAGTGGCCGAGGACCCCACGTGGGGCGAGGACGAGGAACCGCTGGCATGCATCACGGATGCTTGGGCCCAGGGCTCCGTGCCTGTACTGCACGCACCGGCACCCGTTGGTGTAGAGGAGCACTTCCAAGGCGAAGTAAGCCCAAGCCCCGGCCTCTTTTCGGCCTCTTTTCGACAGAAGCCTCCTCCGGAGCCGCTCAGGACCATGAAGTGAGGTCCTTCCCCACTCTTCCTACATCTCATTACCCTTATGTGTTTCCCCAGGAACCTGGGAACCCGGACCAGTTCCTTTTAGGTTCACCGTGGTTGGACAGAGACTCCCAGGAGCCAACAGCATCTTCAGGACCTTCTGCCGAGCCAAGACCCACGCCCACCTTGGAGGTGTTTCAGGAAATTGAGCCCGGGGATATCTTGGAAGACCCCAATGACCAGGAGCAGAGCCACATCCTAGCCACGTCTTCAAACGCGTCTTTACGGCCTAGCCACATCTTGGCCGTGCCTTCGAAGGAGTCGTTACGACCTTCGCTGGAAGAGGTGCGAGTCCACAGTCCCCATCCTTCCCTGGATCTGCCCCAAGCAGTCAACCTCCAGGCCTCTGAGGAGAAGGATTCGTCCCTCAGCTCCCACCTGTCCCTCGAAGATCTTTACCGCTGCGTGTCTCAGCCAGACGCGGCAGGGGACCGGCTGAAACCCGAGAGCAAGGGCACGACACGCACCTCCTTGGAAGGGTCTATGCCTCTCCTCACCCTAGAAAAGCCCTCCGGGTCGCCACAGTCTGAAAGCTTGGATACGCGGCATAGCCGCAAGACGCCCATAGTGCGCCTGGA